CCGTAGAACATTTGCAAGCAAGTTAATATCGAAAGCCATTAGTAGCGATTAACTCCTTTTCTACGTGTGCTAGACTATATAGTTAATATGTAATATGTCGAAGAGGGTATATTTTTCTTTAATAAGACTTCTGGAATATTCAGCCCGGTAGTCGGAAATAAATAAATATCCTGTTTAATAATAAAACGGAACGTCTACTCAAATATGAGTATCCACTTAAAATGACGTTTAATGTGATAAAATCTGCGGATTATTAAATAAACAAAATTACTTTGTTTACGTTTGTATACGAAACTGAGCAGATATGGAAATTTGGCGAAACGACGAGAAGGATTTTACTTAAAGGCATTATTCTGCTTTGCTTGATCAGCAAATGTTTTTTCTAGCTGAGTCGGTCTAGATAATATCGGATCTAACGACGGGCCCCTTTACGCAAAAGGGACGCAGTTTCGAATCCTGTCGGAGAGTGCATATGTTTCTTTAATACGATTTCATGAATATTCAGGTCGGTAGACGAAAATAAATATATATATATATATACAGTTTAATAAATAAACGGATCGTTTAATCAAATATGACTATCCATTAAAAACAACGTTTAAAGCGATAAAACATGTCGGATTAATAAATAAAAAATCAATTACTTTAGAAATTGATTTGTTTACGTTCGAATACGAAACTGAACATATAAGGAAATTTCTATCACTAGAAGAATTTCGCTAAAAGGCACTGTTCACCCTTGCTTGATAAGCAAAGCTATTCGTAGCTGAGTCTATGAAAGCACGTCAGATCTAACGACGATTCCCTCTTCCAAGGAGGAAGCAGGTTCAAATCGTGCCAGAGGGCGCATATTGTTGTGGATTCCGAGATGAAATCCGGTCTCAAATGAATGACAAACGCAGGAATGAAATATAACAAATAAATGTATTGACGTAATAATACAATTGGTAATATGGTTAGTAGATCCAGAAATGCGGTTAGTAGCAATAATAATATATATACAGTCTGGGAAATTCAGTATCGAAGTAGGACTTCCTTCTGAGTCTACGTGCTCGCAACTGTGACTCCTACAAAGCGGTTACCTCACTCTCTCACTGTATCACTGTATTTCTATTACTCTGTTACTCCCGGGTATTCACTGACAGCAATACAAGTACACACTGGACGAGTTCACTTGTATAAAAAAAGGGGTTGACTCCATAACACATATTATTCTTTAATAAGATATATTAAATATTCAGACCGGTAGAGGAAAATAAATATACTATTTAATAAATAACCAGAGCATCTAGTCAAATACGAGTATTCACTAAAAATGGCGTTTAATGTGATCAAATCTGCGGATTAATAAACAAACAATTCTATTGCTTTCGAAATTCGTTTGGATACGAAACTGAGCAGATATGGAAATTTCGCGAAACGACGGGAAGAATTTTTGCTTAACGGCATTATTCTGTTTTGCTTGATCGGCAAATGTTCTTCCTAGCTGAGTCGGTCTAGATAATATCGGATCTAAGCAAGGTGGGCACAGGTTCAAATCCTGTCGGAGAGCGCATGTAATTCTTTAATATGATTTCTCGAATATTCAGCCCAGTAGAAGTAAATAATTAAATATGCTGTTTAGTCGATAAACGGGGCCTCTACTCAAATATGAGTATCGACTAAAAATAAGGCTCAAAGTGATAATATATGGCAGAATAATAAATAAATAATCGATTATTTCTTCACAAATTAATATGTGAAGCACCTGCCATCAAGTGATTATTACCAGGTTCTTCTTGCAGGCCGTGGTGAGGTTGTCCAATACTAACAGAGTGACTCATTTACTGTGACCTCGTACAAAACTGGCCTAAGCAATTCTGTTCTATATGAAGGTAGAAACTAATAGAGTTTTGATGCTATATCTGGGCTAGAGATGCCCAATCCTCTCTTTCCAGCCTCGATAGAGTTAAAAGGCCCTTACGCGGCCTTGAGGGTGATTACTTATTTTCTAACGTACAGCCCCTTTCCTACAACGTCGCAAGCCTACTGCTATACTGTGGCTATTCCCATCGAAATTATTCTGACTGGATACATTCATTTGTCCAGCGGGTTCAGTCATTGACAGCTAAGACCCGCCTAACCAAGAACACAGGAACAAATAGTCATCATTCCCTTAACAAAGTAAGAACGACGTTCCATATGAACGCCTTCTTCCCAAGAAGAGTCTCTTTTATGAAATAGACTCCCGAGAGGATGCTTCCCATCTCAGTATAATTTTAGCCAACTGAAACCTCGAGTCAAGCGTTGTCTGTTTTACTCATAATCTACAATTCTTACGTTCATAAAACAGCTTCCCTCTCTCGGTCTTGGGTCTTGTATTAGTTGAACTATAGCGTAAAAAGGCGACGTACTATCGTTGTTGTTCACATTACATTTCTTCTTCTTCTTCTTCTTCTTCTTCTTCTTCTTCTTCTTCTCCCCCACCTCCTCCTCCTCCTCCTCCTCTCCGTATATTTTCTTTTTCATCCAATTCTTCCTTCCTTCCTTTTAACCCTATTCCTTCTAACTCATTCATGTCTAAAAATCACTATTTTTTATCAGATTTCTTTTTTTCCCTTCTCTTTTCTTCTGTAAATCATTATATTTTAATTCTTCTTTGGTTTTCCTTGAACTTTTTCATCTATCCCCCTCTTTTTCTTTCTCTTTCCTCCTCTCTCTCTCTCTTTTCTCTTTCTGTCTTTCTTCTCTCTCTCTCTCTCCCTCTCTCTCTTTCCCCCCTCTCTCTGTATATATATATATTTTTTTTCTATTCTTTCTTTTTTTTCTACCTTCTTCTTCTTCGTGGTACCATGTCCCTTCAGAACGCGAGTATTCATGGCTCTCCACAATTTCCTATTCTTTGTAGTTCTTAGTAAATTTTATTTTTCGCTATCTTTCCTAATCCCTGTCCCGCCAACCATTTAGACAATCTTGTTAGATAAGTTATACGCTATTTCCCTCTATCAATCTTGCCATCACTATGTCCTGTGAGTGTCAAATTTTCCAAGCCCTCTTTCCTCATTATGTGCCCTAGATATTTCAACTGTTTCTTTATGATGTCATAAGTGTCTTATTTGTTTCCATTTTCTCTAAAACGTTGCCGTTGCTCACATATCCAATCGATGGTATTCTCAGCCTCCTTCTGTAGAACCACATTTCTGTTACCTCAAGTTCAAATTGCAATATGAGCACTGGTAAAAAGGGTTGCTGAAGACATTAGGTTTATAATACCCATTTCTTAAGAGATCCCCTGCCATATAAAAGGACCGATATTACATGACGATTCAGTAATCTTTTCTTTTTTTTAAAATGATATTTTCCTCTTTCTTAATACATTGCTTAGCTTTTGGAAGGCCACTTTTGGTATCCCAAATAGCCTTCTAATAAAAAAATCATAAAAAGGTGATAACGTTTTTTCTAAAGGTGGGCGTCGTTATCTAATGTCGATAGACTGTCATGATTGTCTCTTGGTTGTGTGATTACATCACTAGGTCTTTCACACTATCTCATCGTAGATAAGCGGTCTATGGTACCTATTGTGGTTGGTATTTCAGTATTCGGTCCCAGATTTTTACGGTAGATTGCAAGATTTACCCCACCTGTCGTTACACACATTATACGCTCCTTGATTATAAGACCTGCAAAGAATCTGTGAAACTTGAGAAGAAATAAAAGGAAAGCGCCACTCAAAAGTCTGGAAGGGTGCCAACTCATCCATGTGTGTGTGTGTGTGTGTGTGTAAGAGAAAGAAAGAGAGAGAGAGAGGGGGGTATAGAGAGGGGAGAGAGAGAGAGAGGGGAGAGAGAGAGAGAGGCCTTTCTACTAGTTTGTGAGTTGGAAGGTAGGTATTATTTTTTTGTGAAAATATCAACCCGCTCCCTGCACTGTAGGAAGGAAGGACAGATAGAACAGACTGAAGAGAGAAAGATAAAAAAAATATATCGTAAGGAAAAAAAAGCGAAAAATGATGAAAAAGAAAGTTAAGGTAAAAGGTCGTAAAGAAAAAAAAAGAAAGAAAAAAAAGAAAGGAAATATCGTAAAAGAAAAAAAGAAAGAAAGGGAAAGAAAATCGCAAAGAAAGAGAGAAAACTGAAGAAAAAGATCGTAATAAAAGAAAGAAAGAAAGAAAGAAAGAATAAAAGAAAGAAAGAAAGAAAGAATAAAAGAAAGAAAGAAAGAGAGAATAAAAGAAAGAAAGAAAGAAAGAAAGTGAAAACAAATTTAAAAAATGAAAGAAAAAAAGAACGATTCTATATATAACGTAAAAGAGTAAAGAAAAAAAACTGAAAAAAATCGGTGAGTAAGCAAAAACTAACATGAGAGAGAAATAGAAAAAAGATCGTAAAGAAAGACAGAAAGAAAAGTAAAAAAAAGACCGTAAAAGAAAGAAAGATGCTACATAGTGTAAAAGAATTAAAGAAAGAAAGAAAAAAAGGAAAGAGAGAAAAAGAAAAAAAGGAAAGAGAGAAAAAGAAAAAAAAATCTTAAAAGAAAGACAGTCGGAAAGAAAAGTAATAAAAATAAGGAAAGAAGAAATATCTGAACTGGTGGAACAAAATAATGGAACTCATATGAAGATGGGAATAGCGATAAGACATAACTCATAAGGCAACTAAAAAGAATTTTCAACTCGAAAAAGACTGGAAAGAAAGAAAACAAAAAAGAAACGAAAGACGATGAAATCATCGGGTATTTTCAGTCAGTGTTCGAACCTAAATAAAAATCCAGAATTTATAACACTAAATTTCAAGGCAGTTAAGCTGGCTGATATCACTCTGAAATTTTATGAAATATTCTTCTTCAAAATTTCCCCCAGGTTTGATCGAATTAAGTTTCGTATATATCAGTATCGCGGATGCACGGTGGAGTAATGGATAGCGGCTTGGATTGAGGAATCGGAGAGCCGAGTTCGAATTCCAGTCAAATCCATTAAAGGAAAGGTGTGAATTCTCTTTCTTCTCCCTCCAGCTATGGGTAAATAGACTGGGTTCTATAGCCTTGGATGGCAAATGGTCTAGAAGGAAACTCTGAATTCAAACCTGCTCTGAGCCTTTGTTGGCAATCCATTTAGTGTTGGTGTCACGATAAAAACACCCTTGATAGCCTTAGCGAAGCATCAAGAATTCAGCTATTTGACAAGATTATGAATTACACCAAATCAAAGTATTGGTGAGTTCAATCTCGGCTGAGGCCGCAAGAGAGAGAATGCACGGCAGCTCGGATTGAGGAATCAGAGAGCCTAGTTTGAATTCCAGTCGAATCCGTTACATTCACTTACATGCTAATACCCTTGGGAAATATATGAATAAACAGTAGGACAGACTGGGTTCTATAGCCTGGGATGGCAACTGGTCTACCGCAGAAAGAAATGGCAAGCCGAAAGATACATGATCGCCTAAGGACACGCATGGTACATAACTGGCTGATATATCAGGCTTTGTGTTCTAGAGGCTTACGACTGCATCACATTGAAACTATTGCTTCATTACAATAACAGAAGTTAAGCAACGTCGAACCTGGGTAACCGCATGAGAATCCCAGGAATATCAGAACTATTAATCGGAGAGCCGAGTTCTTAATCGACGTGTCATTGGGTTCGTTATATTCACTTATGTGTAAATAGCCTTGGGAAAGGTATGACTCCACCTCTTCTCTCCCCAGCTATGGGTTAAGTACTAAGACTTGTATCTCTAAAAGTATAACTCTTACAATCTAAAAAATGTTCATTTAAGTAGATTCATTTTTCCCCAATTATAGGTTAAATAACATGCAATGAAAAACTCTGAATTCAAATATGTAAAATGTAAATAATGAGGTAGACTGGACTCTTTAGCCTTGGAAGGGTAATAGATTCGCATATCATCCGGTTCGCACCCCACCCTAGTATTTTGAATAGGAGCAGCGGTTTATCCCTTGTTTCCTGTTTAGGATTGGGCTTCCGGTTCTAGGAAAAAGATAACTCTTAATTCAAAACCAGGACGAAGAGGGCTGGGCTTCATCAAGCAATTTTAACCTCGACACACTCATATGTGTCCTGTTTAGGATTGGATTTCCGGTTCCTTCTAAGGTCTTCTCATTCTATTTCACACCCAGTAGCCCCTTGTTTCTTAGTGACATTATCACCTTGCTTGGGGTGAATTGATTAAAAATTCAGTCTAGGAAGAAGATAACTCTTAACTGGCCTAAGCAATTCTATTCTAGACCTCTCTTTTCGGCCTCGACAGAGTTCAAAGGCCCTTACGCTGCCTTGAGGGCGATTACTTATTTTCTTACCTACAGCCCCTTTCCTACAACGTCGCAAGCCTACTGCTACACGGTGGCTATTCCCATCGAAATTATTCTGACTCAATACATTCATTTGTCCAACGGGTTCAGTCATTGACAGCTAAGACCTGCCTAACCACGAACACAGGAACGAATAGGCATCATTCCCTTAACGAAGTAAAAACGAAGTTCCATATGAACGCTTTCTTTCTTCCCAAGAAGAGTCTCTTTATGGAACATACTCCCAAGAGGATGCTTCCCAGCTCAGTATAATTTTAGCCTGCTGAAATATCGAGTCAAGCGTTATCTGTTTTACATAGTTTCATAATCTACAATTCTACGTTCATAAAACAGCCTCAGTCAATAGCCTCTCCTTCTCTCGGTCTTGAGGCTTGTATTAGTTGAACAATAGCGTAAAAAGGCGACGTACTATCGTTGTTGTTCACATTACATTTCTTCTTCTTTTTTTTCTTTTTTTTTCTTCTTTTTCTTCTTATTCTAAAGTCTTCTCATTCTATTTTACTCCCAGTAGCCCCTTGTTTCTTAATAATATTATCATCTTGCTTGGAGTAAATTGATTAAAAATTCAGTCTAGGAAAAAGATAATTAATTCAAAACCAGGATGAAGAGAGTTGAGCTTCATCAAGCAATCCTACCCTAGACACACATACACAGTAGCTATGGCTGCAATACAATTGGTGACTCTAGTTACTTAGGAGATTCACGTTCGTTATCTTGAAATATGAATAACAATTTCGGTGAAATAATTACAAATAGTTTTCCTTCGGTCGATAGGAAGACCCCCGGAACACAGGTAAGGTAATCAAATTACAATGGTTTGGACACGTCTGACAATCACAAACGCTTGCCAAGATATTTCTGTAAGCATCGACCGTTCATGATAATCTCCGTACAGTGATATGGAGAAATGATTGTCAAAAATATAAGACTATGAAGTCGAAGATAATAAGTGGAAATTGTAATGAAAGCCGTTTCCTTATAAGGAAACATTTGGTATACATTGACCGAGCAGTCAGTACTAGTGTTGGTTGAAATAGAAAAATAAACTTTCTGTTAAAAAAATTGTAAAATACGTCTCTCCAGTCCGCTAACTTTTAACGGTCTTTATAGTCTAGATGTGGAGTTTCCTTCCTAGACTTTTGTTTAAACTAGTGTAGAAAGCCAACATCTTGATTATACCATTATTTTCTCTTCAGTTTATGTGCGATATCCATTTTAATTGTTTTTGTTGCTGAAAGTGGCGTGGTTTATGTTATTAGGTAAAGTATTTTTTTGTTCTGGATTCTGTAGAGCCATTCCACAAGTTTCAAAGAAGAATGGTTTTCGTCCAGGCACACAGGCTTTATTCGCCCAGGCCTGTGTTTAACCATTGATCTGAGGAGCTGTTGGATACAACTGAGAGTTTAGATATTTTGAACAAGCGGCTGTGGAACTCGAAGAGACATCTTCAAAACTGGAGAAGGCTATCAGTCCTCGTAATCCTAGTTAGTCTGCTAGTCGGACGCGATTGACAACATGATTTCAATAGGTTCACTTTGTTTCTTTGAAACAGGGGAGTATTTCCTTCCGGTTTCTTGTGTGAAAATTGTACAATTTCTATTATATTAGGTTGTCCAACATGAAATGACGCATTCTTGGGTTGTTGTTTGTTATATATATATATATATATATATATATATATATATATATATATATATATATATATATATATATATATGAAATAAATTGATTTATTCCTGACTCCATTTCTTTCCAGATAATTTTTCTTTCAATATATTATTAAACCCAATGAAAATGGTTACAATAAAACAATATCTAGTAATTTTACTGCATGAGTACAATCTTGGAAAAAGAACCATTTTTGAATCGAATCATTAAATGTGATGATTAATGGGTACTCTTTGACAATAGTAAGTGAGTAGGCCCGTGATTAGATAAAAGTGAATCACCAAAACAATGTCCAGAACCTCCACTGACCTCTAAAAACTTAATAGTTACTGTATGGTGGTCTTTCAAAGGGGTTTTTCATTATTCATTTTTGCCTAAAGGGAAAGCAATAACAGCAATCTCCGATTGTGGATAATTGAATGTATGCACGAAAAATTGAAAAAGAAACATCGCAGACTTGTGAATAGGAATGGTCCAGTTTTGACAACACACGGCCACGCACTTCTCAATCAACTATCCAAAAGCCGCATAGCCTGAATTATGAAAATTTGCCTCATTCTCCATGTTCATCTGGTGGCTCTCCTAATGATTATTACTTATATAAACATTTTGGACTTTTCATACGTAATAAAAAATTTCTCCAATAAGGAAGAGGTAATCGAAGCATTTTAACTCTTTATCGCGTCAAAGAATGAAAATTTTTTATTAAAGACGGACTCAAGAATTTGGAGTTACGTTGGAGAAGAGTTGTTCTTCGACATGGTGTCTATTTCAACTAAATAAACTTGTTATTTAACATTTCAGAAGCGTTTTATTTATTTCCTATAATGTGCCTTATTTCAGTAGTTAGTTCCTTAGTTATTTCGCCCGGCGTTACGCCTTGCCAACACCTCATAAATAATGGACTATTCCGTTTTGACCGCGTGCAAACACGGAAATGACATATAAGAAACGCTACTTGATTTCAGTGAGAAAAGGAAGGAAAGAAGGAAGGAAGGATGGAGGGAGGGAGGGATGGATTCATATTAATGAGTGTTCTTGCAATATTTTGTTAAAGTTGTTAAGCTCAAATATTTGGCAATGCGATAGAAGAATTTCTCCGGATATTTTATTGTCGTAGAACTGGCCATGAGCTTACTCAATCATTAACTTACGAATTAAGATTCATCCTAATATTAAAATAAGACAACTGTTTTCTATTGGGGATAAATAAGGAGGGTGGAAAGTGAATTATACGTTCTGAGTTCAATTCTTGTTCAATACTGTTTCATTCATTTCGCGCTAATGCCCTTGGAAAAGGCCTGAGTTCATCTTTTTCCAGCCATGGGTTCAAAAATCAGGTCAAACTGAACTGTGTCAGCCACCATTCTAGAAGAAGAAGAACACAGAATTCAAAACTGGCGTGACACAAGGTTGGGCTACATCAGGATAACTTGCCTTAGACACACTACTGTTGTTATAGCTACAGTACATGCGCTGCCTCTACTACCCTAATAAATTACGGGACGAGAAGAACATAAATAATATTATTTTATGTTTCAGAAATTGAATTCTATATTCTTGCAAAAAATTATTGTTTATATTTTAAAGTCTTACCTTATAACCTTTCTGTTATGGGGCGTGATTTTGTTCGCATTTTCTCTGTCCATCGGTAGTCGTTAATCTCGGGTATTTATTCGGTATTAAGACGCACTCCCACGATAAAAACCTAAAGTGACACAAGGTTGAGTTTAATGCGAGATTATCGTCACTTCCCCGTTTTGTCTTGCCTATACAGCTCTCACAATTACTGCGCTGACAATCAGATATAAGATATTCTTATTTCGAAAACACTGTTTATATTTATCGGCAAAATAGTCTTGGTGTTTATTTTACCGGGACAGGCAAAATAGCCTTGGTATCTATGTTATCGGAACCGGCAAAATAGCCTTGGTGTCTATTTTACGGTAACCAGCAAAATAGCCTTGGTGCATATTTTACCGGGACCGGCAAAATAACCTTGGTGTCTATTTTACCGGGACCAGCAAAATAGCCTTGGTGTCTATTTTACCGTGACCAGCAAAATAGCCTATGTGCTTATTTTACTGGGACCAGCAAAATAGCCTTGGTATCTATTTTACCGGGGCCGGCAAAATAGCCTTGGTGCCTATTTTACCGTGACCAGCAAAATAGCCTTGGTGTTTATTTTACTGGGATCAACAAAATAGCCTTGGTGTTTATTTTACCGGGACAGACAAAATAGCCTTGGTGTATATTTGACCAGGACCGGCAAAATAGCCTTCGTGTTTATTTTACCAGGACCAGCAAAATAGCCTTGACGTCTATGTAACCGCACCAGCAAAATAGCCTATTCGAATATTATTGGCAGAGGGGCGAATTCCAGATACAATGCTACTGGTAGAAGAGTTCGCTCCTCTAACGGTAGGAATACAATACCATTCGGTATTTTCGACGCACACCCACGACAATGTAACACGAGGCACAATTTAATGTGAGTTAATCGGCAGTACCGAAGAATGAGAAGGGAAGAAAACGAAGATGGAAGGGTATAAGTGTAAAAAAAAATAAAGATATTGGAAAATAAAGAAAACGAAAGTAAAAATAAATCTAATATAAACCGGGCAATATTTGCCATATTGGCATTACTGAAGACCATACCTCTTTTTGCAGATTTCTTTTGAAGTCGAGTTGCAATTGGACCTTACTTTTTGACTTTATAGTGCAAACCAGAGCCCTGGCTATCTTTTTTGAGTCTAGTATAAAAGCAGGCTTATAGCTACTTATCTAATTAATTTTGTTTTAAATTTGTGTTCTATGAGTTATCGAATCGAGATTAAATGACCCAGCAAGCATTGATACGTCGTAAGGGCAAATTCATTTGATTTCCTCGGAAAGGAAATCCAGACATTTTTTTCTAATCTTTTCTACGCGCATTGACCTGATATTTAAGAGTACTCGAACCTGGAGAACAGAGTTCAAACTCTGATTAAGACAGTTTTTTTTTCTCATTCAGGCTGAAATCCGAAGGCGTATTGGGATAGCCAATGAAGCATTCCAAAAGCTAAGCAGAGTATTAAGAAATAGGAAAAGTTCGCTAGAAACAAAAAAAAAAAGAAGAAAGAAGGGTACTAAACTGCTACACGATATCTGTCCTCCTGGACGATCTCCTCAAAGATGAAGAAGAGCTTGCAGTTACTGAAATGTGGTTCTACAGGAGGATGATGAGGATACCGTGCGCCGAACATGTGAGCAAAAAGGAAGAAAATGGAACCAAAAAGGAAATTAATTCTTAACATCAGGAAAAGACAGTTGAGGTTTCTGGGGCGCATAATGAGGAAGGAGGGCTTGGAAAATCTAATACTCACGGGACAGATAGAGGGCAAGAGGGACAGAGGAAAGATCGCATAACATATTTAGTGAGATTGATTAAATGAATGAAGAAACAGGGCTTCGGATTAATAACAGACAGACACCGGTCAGGAAGTTGTGGAAAACCATGATGGCATACGAGGTTACATAAGGAAGATATAAAACCACTCCTCCCTGTTTTTCACAGCTTATAATGCTATATGGCAACTTATCGCTGGTTAGTTACAGAGAAACTTGGGAACTGGCAAGTAACCCGTTTCCATCGCTAAATCTCCGATCGAACCTTGTATACTAGTCGACAATCTACGAGCTCATGGTGTAATTAAATTGGATTGAGCTCTACGCGTAGTATGATGGGGAAAAATACTTGTGGCTTATCTATAAGTTTAATAATCGACTTTCTCGATGTCCAAGTGTAAGTCAATAAAGAAAAAATCAAATGGTCATGAAATGATATCATTTGCAGGATGTGTAAGAGGGATAAATAATGAAAAAGCTCTTCACTGATGGGATGAATGCGAGTTATTTGTGATTAATTGCGAGTAATGGCTATTCAGGAAAGTCCAGTTACTGTTCTCAATTTACGCCTTTCGCTCAAGTGGACAGACGTCTTCCGGTAAGCGGTGTCAAACAACAAAAGTGGATTAAGGAAGAGAAATGGAGGAGAAATGGCCAGATGAAATGAGTGCAAAAAAGAAAAAGAGAGAAGAAAAAAGAAAAAAAAAGAACAAGGTGATAAATGATAATAAACCTTTATCTATCTATCTATCTATCTGTCTGTCTCTGTCTCTCAGTTCATATCTATCTACCTCTCTATTTCAATCTGTTCCTATCTATCTATCTATCTATCTATCTTAATCTCTTCATATCTATCTATCTATCTATCTTAATATGTTCCTATCTATCTATCTATCTATCTATCTATCTATCCTAATCTGTTCCTATCTATCTATCTATCTATCTATCTTAATATGTTCCTATCTATTTATTTATCTATCTATCTATCTTAATCTGTTCCTATCTATCTATCTATCTATCTATCTATCCTAATCTGTTCCTATCTATCTATCTATCCTAATCTGTTCCTATCGATCTATCTATTTAATCTGTTCCTATCTATCTATCTATCTATCCTAATTTGTTCCTATCTATCTATC